TTGATGGAAGTTTCTATCCACCATCTTCATTATTTAGAATGGTCACTCACACCAAGTGTTATTTAAAAAGAAAAACTGAACTTTTTGTGTCAGTGTTACTTAATTTTGTGTAATAGGTAGGCACTATTAAGATATTTTAATTATTTTTGTGTTGTAAAGATTTTGTGTGACTTTAAGATTAAAACATTTCAACATTATATTTGAGTTTATTTTTTATTTCTCATGCTGATTGTAACTCGACTCCTTGATGGGTTCTTATCTCCCACTTTAATAGCAGTTCTTAAGGGAGCAGTTTCCAGGCCACCTTTACGAAGAGAAATTGAAGTGGCCCTAAACCCACTCCCTCAGACTTTTTTTAACTCTAAACAAACCCACCGTGGTTACAGTTTCCATAAAAACTGAAATCACTATTTCTGTCATTTTATAAGTAGGTGGGTACCACACGTAGGTAGGTAGGTAGGTTGGTAGGTAGGTAGATATCTTGATGTTAAAAGCCACCCACGAAATTGTCTTCATTTTCCTCCCAAATGATACCAGGTTGTTTGAAACCTTGCTACCTTTTCTTCATCCTCCCCGCCATATGTGAAGGATTTGCTCAAAAAGTTGTTGATGCCCAAAATCTTTAATTAAGTGAATAATCCATACTTAGTAAAGAAACGAACTGCCAACATAACAGGCGACTATGAGTCATGAGGGCACAGAGCTTAAACTGAGAGTGCCATGACCATTTTGATCATATTTTTAGGGAAACTACAGAGAAATAACAAGTTTGACTTTTTAAAACCAGCAACAGTTTATTGATAACTGTTAATAAGTTAAGAAACTGCCATGCTTTCCTGTGGCAACAAAGTAATCAATAGTGAAACAAAAAACACATAATTTGCAGGAAAAGGAATTTAACTATTAATGACCAGCGCAGGTCCTGCAAGAAACCACCATTTTCCTGTACAAATAAGTATTCTTTTTAATAAATAAATATCTAAAATGAAACTTTATTTTATAAATGTCAATAAATAATTTATTACTACATTTAATTATAACTTTCCAAAACAAGAATGGTTCTTATAGAGTGTGGAAAACATAATTATGGAAGCCTGGTTGTGCACTGTATTTCTTAATATTTGCTGTTCCAGAAAACACCAATACATCCAACACGGAGTGTTTTTTTGGGTTGAACCTCCCTCCCCTCCCCCTCAACACTACCTCATACCTCTGAAAAATCCAGCTGTATATTGGCCTTTACAAGACTACCCTTCCCCCTCAGAAATTTTGGAATGACCCTCCATGGGGGTGTGTGTGGATATTTTGTGGAACTACACACTATGAAATATATTACCTTGTTTTCTGAGGTAGTAGTTCAATGACAAAACACATACAGTTAAATTAAACACCAAAAAAATTGTCAAATATAAATGACCTTGTTGGTCGCAAGGATTTGTAAAGAAAAATAACAGGAAAATAGCTTCTATTTACCTAAGTGAAACAGTGATGGTATCCTCAGAGTAAAAACAAGGCTAATGTATGAACACTAACAAAAAATAATTACAGTAGATATTTGCAACTTAAAAGTCAAAACATTAAGCACAGTTGCTGCAGTTCATCATCATTTTGATTACAACATGTTTTTATCGTGGCTAGTGCATGTAACTGATAATGTAACTGTAAAAATCATAACACAGGATGTAATTTTGAATAATATTAATATTAATTACCCCGTCTAGTCTAAAATATAAAACAAAAGTCCCTGACAAGGATAAAAACATTTAAATAATGATTACTTGTAAATATTTTTCAAGTTGTAATTTTTTACACATACCAGGGGCAGTAAATGTTGCTGAGAAAAGGTACAGCACTTAAGACATTTTTATCCATCAATGGCTGTTAATTTAATAATTTACAAACTTACACGTAAGCCATAAAAGCTTTTGATTTATGTAAACAAGCCAATAAATAAATTTTAAAACGTCCTGGACAAGTATCATTTTCGGTATAATTTATATACATTGCACATTGCAGTTCTTTGATCCTGGACTAATATATTAATTTATTCTCCCTTATTAAAGATCCAGCTCTAAATATAGTTAATTCATTGAAAGTGATTGCTTATAGTCCATTTTGTTTTCCTGATAAAATTATTTATAAGACTGAGTATATTGTATAAATAATAACTTATTGCTTTTTGGAAACTACACCCATATACAGTGAAATAGGAGTGTAACTTCCATAGTGCCATGCATAGGAATTGGTACAATTTATAATTTTACCATAAACAATCTATAATGCTCAAAAAGTACCATTATATACACCTGTATGGAAATTTTTTTTGGCTTTGGATATGATGATTTTGAACCTCTCAATTTTAAATTGCCTTCCATTAAATAAATAAGTTGTATCTCATTGTGTTTATTAATCCTTCAAATAAATTATGCATGAATTGGTAGAACGTTTTCATTAATATAACCAGGTTGTGACTTAAATCCGTGGTAGTCCAAGATAATGTCACAAAAATTAAAGACCTGGATTTGGTACTCAAGGATATTCTATTAAATAAAATGACAAGTATAAATTTATTACTGCGAAAATCAATCCACTTTGCCCTGATCGAATACTACTTCGTCTTTTCAACGTGGTTGCTTATTACAGGACAAAAGTGATTTTTGTGAAACAATCCATTTTCACCATTTCGTTGGTCTTTTTCGATTGGTGTGTTTTGAGGTATCTTTGTTTGCCGACTAAAGAATCTTAAGACACCGCGCATAATCATGAGAAACCAATAGACTTGGAGGCTGAACAGGAGCAAACAGAAAGTGTTGCAAAAGACTGGGACTTTAAATGGAGTACTGTGGAATGGAATATTGGCATAATTGGAGTAACACCAATACATGAAGGGGTAGATAAGGACTCGGCAACAGAGGAATACAGTCGCCAGGAGAACACCATTTGTCACATACAAGGCTGACTTTCTCATTTCAAGCTGAAACAAAATTTAAAACAAAAATTTTGTTTAAGTTATTAAGGTATTAGTTAATCGGTATGGGGACACTGAAAAGGGTGCCTTTCCAATTGGGATCTATTTCTTTTCTCCAAACAAACAAGTTATAGCATAAAAAAAGGAGAAGTTCATTCCAAAATGGTACTGTTTTTATTCTTTTTGCCGACAGAAAGATTATACAAAGGTATATAAGTTACTCACCAAAATTTCAGCTTCCAAAGGGCTTTCCAACCTGATGAAATTATCATCTAAAGTAGCCTGAAATTCGAGATCTGGGGGCCGCCATCTTGGAGAACTCCTAGCAGCCTGGTGACAAGTGCTTGACATCGATGCACTCAACCTGAGTTTAGCCTGTACACAGATGTTTTTTTTTTTCTTCTTCCCCACCCCCACCCTCTTGCGTTGGTGGTCAATATATCCGCCGTTTTTTTTTTTATCACGCACTCTCGATGGGCTTTGAAGTGAAAAAAGAGGATCTGTGAACAGGCTACCTGAGTTTGGCAAACAGATTAAATCACTCAACATTTCCTTTTTCTTCGTTTTGGATTGTGTTTTTCTGTGGCCATGGCTTCTTGTGTAGCTTCAAAAAGAAGATGGCGGCCCTCAGCTCTCGAATTTCAGGCTACTTTAGACAAGAACTTCATAGGGTTGGAAAGCTCTTTAAAAGTCAAAATTTCGGTGAGTAACCTACCTTGGTATAATTCTTTTGTTGGCAAAAAGAAAAAATTTGCCATTTTGGAATGAACTTCTCCTTTAAGTGAATAAACTGGTAGGCCAGCTGCACAACCACTTCAGGCTAGTACAGTTTAGCCCAAGGGCAAGTATTATTATTTTTTTATTTTTCATTAGTGTGTTTGTGTCTTATGCAAGACACTATCTTCCCCTGTAGAAAGGGCTCCATTATAAATATACAATGAAACAAATACCTTTTCCAAAATTGCCTTAAGAGACAAAAATGGTGTGCTCATCTCATTCAGATATATACAAGCTAAGAAAAAGTCTCCCTTTGCTTTCCTCCAAATCTAAAGAAAAAGAGCAAAATTAAGAGGACATCTGTAACATTTTAGGGAAATTGTTTTTTCTTCTAATAAATGATTTTGTAGTATAACAGAAATAAAAAATATTTATCACTGAATGTATTATAGTGGTTGGCTAGGTTGAGGTTGGTAGGAAACCCTAAACAACAGAAATTATAGACTACTTGCAATTATTAACCGAGAGTGAGGTCGTTACAGGGAAATCTCAGACCGAGGCCATCAAGGCTGAGGTCTGAGATTTCCCTGTAATGACCGAATGGCGGAGGTTAATAAGTTACTTATTATATGGCCTTTTTATTATGGACCGGAGCCTGCGACCAAATTAAAACCAGCAATTACTGGTCACTGGATAACTTAAAAAAAAATTTGTCACCTTAATGAGTTGTATACTTGAACCTGCATTACAGTCAGCACTGACACTGGTCAGCAGATACCCTTTTAGGCAGCTGTCAGTTGACCATATCATGGACGTCCATAGGATGTCCACTATCAAGTTAAACACAGATTGTATATGCCTTGGACACCTAGCTAGTAATGCCTGGTCATTACAAGGAAATATGCCCGGTGATTAAAACAAAACAGTCAATCAGAGCACGTGTACTAATGTAGCCATATAGTAAAATACTAGTTATTCACTAAGAGTGAAGTCATTACAGGGAAATCTCAGACCTAGGTCAACACATCAAGGCCGAGGTCTGAGATTTCCCTGTAATGACCGAACAGACAAGATTAATAAGTTATTTATTATATGGCTTTTTCATTATGGACCCGAGCCTGCAATCAATAAAACCAACAACTGTCCTGCGGATAACTTTAAAAAAACACGTCACCTCAATGAGTGGTTAACACTTGAGCCTGCAATAAAGTCAGGTGACACTGGTCAACCTTACCCTAACCCTAACTGCCCACCCACACACACCCATCCTGCTACATCTTCATTACAGCTGCAAGACTATAAAAGCATGATTTTGGTTCATTGTCAATTTAAATAAAATCTTAATATTATTGGTCATTCACTTTGACTTCAGGTAATAATAAATATAATTTAATTCTATAATTTGTTGTATTTGATATTTGGATTTAGGGTACCCCATTCAGTTTAAAAGCCTAATGAGATTGTAATATATAACTCACAGTGACTTTAACTGGCACATAAATAGACCATATTCTTACCATAATACATACATGTAACAGCACTTTTAATTTTAAATTTGACTTTTGACATGACCCACCCACTGTACATGTTCTAATATTACACCTATTAACCCATTTGCCCCTGGAAAATGTTGCTGAAAAATGCATTTTGAAGCTAGTTGAGCGGTTTTCTGGTCGCTGTCATGCTATAAAGAGCTAAAACTTACCATAAAGCCATTTACAGTTCGTTACATATCGCGGCCTTCCAATCCAAATGCAAAATATTCGCTTGCAAAGTTCGAGCATGTGCAGAAAGCAAAATTTTGAGAGAGTTTTTGGTTTTAAAAGTGACACAGCAGTTTTTACTATTACTTTTCTCTTTCTCTCCCCCTTTTTGCTTTCCTTGCCTCATTTTCTTTCTTTTGCTGCAGGTATTTAGTAGGCTTCATTTTTGTGTGAAAAGTTTTTAAGAGAGCTTTTAGGATCTTAGGATTAGAAGAAAGGAAAGGTAGTTGGGTAGTAGAACAAGATTTTCATCGAAATTTTAAGGTCAATGTTACATGGCTTTTTGGCTTTTTCTCCAGTGTTCTTGACTGAATTGTGCTTATTCTGGTATGGTTTGAAAGATCTCTTCATTCTGTACAGTCAAGTTAGCAAACAATATTGTCCTTGACCATTAAAACTGACGACATCACAAGCGGTAAAAGGGATGTGGATCCACACAGGTGGTTACAGGCAGCTCAGGGACAAATGGGTTAATACCCATTAATAAGTTTTTAAAACGTGTATTAAGTCTTACAGTTACTGCTGGAAATCCAAATATTGGCAGAAGAATGTGATGGATGATGATTAATTTCTTCTTGTTGTAAAGCTTTGCCCATACATCTGAGTATTGTGGCTCTCTTTGGGGATGTTTATGCTTTTCCTCAAGGTAGGCTCCAATGAACATCACCACAACGTCATAATAGAAGTAGCTCAGTCCAAAACAAGCATACTGAGTTAAGATTGGCTGCCTACATAAAGGTAAAAAATGCAAGATATTATGTTATATAGTACATACTAACCACCTCTTTTCTGATCCTTCAATATTTCTGAGAAAGGTGGCTCCAGACCCTCCCCTCCCCTCAGGCATATTTTTTTCTTTCTTTTTTTTCATTTTGTGAACAGAAATAACATCAGTTTCCAAAGCACTTAGGGTAAAGATAGACAGATAGATAGATAATAAGAAAGATAGCTAGATAGCTAGATAGATGCCTTTGATGAATTCAAAAGATAAAAATACAACTATTTACATCAAGGAATTAATATCATAGCTAAAGATAAGTCTATTCACATGAGACGATTTGAAGCGCTCTGTTGCCACTAATTTAGGATGATAAAAGCATGGTTTTCTTTAAGTGCATAATTGGTGAAATTCCTTTCTGGTAAAATCTTCACAAGGCAGGGTGCAAAGAAAATCATTTTTACAGCTTGCCATTTGGGAAAGCTGAAGCTAGCATTTACTAGTCCAGACGTCATTTCAACTAGCCCCAAAAGCGTTTTGACAAGCAGAATTGCTTTCACAGTTCTTCTGTTATTCGAATTCCTCAAAAGCCTCATAGCAAAATCCACTAGCCCCGGGCTATTGGACACTACTTTCTTTGCACACTGCAAGGGACGAATTTGTACTCAATGCCTTTCTAAAAATACGGCAATTTGATCTTTCAAGCAGCTCCCTATTATTCAAATTCCTTGACTATATGTACCTGTGTTTATAACACCTATCTAAAAAATGCTGCACGTTGTTAAGATCAGAAAAGGAGGCTCCGTACACTGATAAACCATACAAAAAAATAGGCACAACAATTGACTAAAACAGATTAAAAAAATAATCCAGCTCCTCCTGATCTGATCTGGTATGTTCAAACTATACCTAACCAAATATGTAACTTTTCATGCCAAGAAAAACTATCCAATAACGGTATAAACAGCAAGTACGGCCTGAGGCGGCCTGAGAAATTGTGCGGGAGTGGTTGGCCAAGAGGGTTTGGTGCAATAAATTTCAATCCTCACTGCTGAATATTTACTTCTGTTTTGGTGGTTTACGATCCTCGCTCCTTCTTATTCACTTCGGCAACAGTTTGAATAGGTGTCTACACTGTATCAAAGCAAGGCACAGAGTTTATCCGATATGTGACGCCCCACTTTCGAGATTGACCTGACGCTGTTTCACTCTATCACAGAAATCGCACTGAAATCACCGTTCTTATGTGGGAACAGAGGCCCTATCCTGTATGATTTTTATGGCCGTGCAAGAGCTACACTGTATCCAGTATACTGGGAACATAGCCTTAATAATACAACAAATTTTTACCAAATATAGGATTCCATACCCCAATTCCATCTAGAAACCTCTACCAAAAAAGAAAATGTTTGTATTTCAAGAACAGCTTCTCCCCCTTAATTTGGAATATTAGATAAATTTAATAAGCCCATCTATGTTTTATACACCTGGCCCCAGTCGTTCAAAAGATGGAAAGCCCTATCCATTGGATAAATCTCTATCCAGTGGATATCGCAATTGGTTTCCCTAATCCTTATATGCTGGATAGTTTAATATTTATCCAGTGGATTGTGCTATCCAAAAATTGAACAACCCAGGTCTGTATTTCAACTTTTGACAAAGGACAACTTTGCCAAAATCCCCTGACATAGCTTAAAAGAGTGTCTTAAAATCAGATTTTCTTGCCATGTTTGAAACTAAACTATTTTTCCAGATGTTTGCAGGTGGGAGGGGGACTCATCTAACTTGCCCCTACCATACAAACATCTCTAAAATGTTGTGACTTCCTAGGCTGCTTATACATCTTCATAAGAGGTTTTAAAAGGGCTTATAAACAGGGGAGCTTCAAATTAATTGCATCCTAGTTTGACGGGATTTATTTCCAGGGGGATGATAATCACATGTATTTTTTGATTACAGGTAGATGGACCTGTACCTGGGGTGGAGGGGGGTTAGTTTACAGTATCGCCTAAGAAGATAAATTAAAACAGTAAACATGGGCCGTAGTTGAAAAAAAGGATGAGAAGCTGACCAGAAAAAAAATGAAGAAACAGAATGGATAATTTTTAATCAAACTGAAATTCTGGCTCTTCTCGAATTTTTCGCAATATTTTAAGGCCCTCAAGTGCCCTTTGTTACTTTTCAGTCACTAAATGTGTATTCAAAACATAGCATCAGAGCAATTTTCAACTGAAACTTCCAATCATGTTATCATATCTATCTATAATCGCATGCAGCTGCACTGATATGTTTTTGAAAAATATCAACCTGTTGGTTTCTTGACCGTGGGATTTTTCTTTTGTGTAAGTGACCATAAGTTAAACATTTCGAAAGCTGAATTATTATTAGATCCCAAGGTCAACCCAAACTTTTAAAGCTAGTTTTTATCAATTTTGCCACTCAAATATTTTGTAAGATATACTGTGCATAGAAAAGAATGAAGAAAGTTGAAATTTCTGGAAAGAAAAAACTGAACACCCCAAACTAGATGGATGCGGTCTTGAAATATTGGTTGACTATGTCAGTTTAGGTGGCGAAATTAAATCCCCGTTGCTTCTTGATTGGGTAGACTTAAGTGTTTCTGTTTAATAATCCCCGTAATTAATCTGATGTATAGTTATTAAGAGAGTTGTTTCTGTTTTAGGCAATTCATAATACATGTAAATGACAAACGCAAGGCAAGCAGAATTATAAAGCGCGTTAAAGAATTTTAAGGTTTTGAGGTGATTTTAGCTACTTCTCTCCCTAGAAAAAAAAGAAAAAGGAATTCGGAGAAGAAGCTAGTAATAGGAATATGTTTCAATAAACACTGTGCATAAATTTTTTGTTTCTTAATTTCACCTGTCGCAAAACTCTCGACATCAAAACAAACTACACGTACTTGTCTCAAATTTCAGCAACTCTAAAACAGATGTTCAAGAGTCGTAAAAAAGGCAAGAAGCGAGTTACGACACTTTAGACAAAGCGTTCAAATGAATAAAAGTATGGTTCAGCTGTCAATAGCGAAGAAGTAAGCGATAAACAAAGTTAAATTGCTGACAATTAAACTGTTTTGAGGGATTTTATAGAGTTACGATTTATTTACACTGTGCTTACCTATCAAGCATAATATCGGTGGAGGTAAAAACACATTTTAACCCAACGACAGTTGCAGCAAATGCTTGAAGGGATGATACAAATCTGTCGAAATTAATTTGCAAACAGTTAAAATAATTCTAACTCCTTAAATTTACGGAAACAGTTTCTGTAAACTTCTAAACAACAGGCGAACAATGAACTCAATTTTCACAACTCAAAAGCACGGTTGTCCGCAAAACACTTTACCTTGTACTGATGGCAAATCTGTCGACAAAATTTAGACTTGGAAAGATGAATTTTTGGAGATATGTGAAGAGGATGTGGGACGACGGAAAGAAGAGGAAACCAGCTGTAAACAGATACAAGTAATCCATTCTTTCTTCCGCCGGTTTCCGCCGATTGATAACTGCACATTAAAAACCGGTCAGCACCCCTCGCTGACAAAATCACGCCATACGTCCGAAAATATGACGAAGCTTGTTCGGAAAGTTGCCGATGTCCTCCGACTTCATCCGTTTATGACACAAGTGGCGCATCTGTTTTGATTTTGGCGGAGTAAAACAGTAGCTAAAATGAGAAGATCGAGAAATCCAAATTCTTCCTCAACAGGCCAGGCTAATAGTTCAGCCGCTGGTTCTTCAGGAAGTAGCAACACAAACACAGTTCCTTCCTTGTTAAAAGAACTTCACGGCCTCGTGTTGCAAATTCAGGTAGTGTGATACTCGTTCCATCTTTTGTTCACTGTCGCGTGTTAAACGCCGTACGTAAAGTCACAACAGTTATTGTAGTTGACGTTATTGCTGGTTGTTTACTTGAAATGATTTCTCTCTCTGTGCAACAGTATTTTGATTTGTCAAAAATGCGAGAAAAAGCTGGATAGTGGATGCATGGCGCCATACTGAATACGAAGGAGAGGGACTGGGGAGAGTTAATAATGGGCATAGGGGATTTCTTGGGTGCTGTAATGGCACGCAAACAATTCCAGAAATTTATGCCCAAGAAATTCTCATGAATGATCCATGCTGTCACCCATGCTACATCACATGGAATTCCCAAAATTTCACTTGAAATGTAAGTGTTGCTCAGGGTTGAATTTTTGTGGAAAATATATGGTTGGTTCCCTTGATTGGGTATGCTTTTCTGTTTCTTCTTTGGTTTGATATGTTTCAGTTAGGATGTTAGGTCTTTGACCAGACACTCTGACATTATCCAAAACACCCTCAACCTGGTTTCTTTCAATGTCAATCACATATATTTAAGGAGATAAAAAAACCTATCTATTACATAGCCAACTCCTGCCTTGAGGATACCTTCCCTTCAATATTAGAGACCTTGATCATGCTAACATGGATAGTAGCTGAATCTGCAGCAACAATAGAGTCAATTTGACTGACCTCTCACTATTACAATACATGTAATTAGCATTTAACTATTGGGTAAGGCTGAGTATGATCTGAAGAATTATGGAGATTGAGGAAAGTGTTTCTGACCGAGGTGGATAACACACTGACAAAGATTATTCCGTATTACAATATCATAAAAGCGAATTTTGATGGTGTTATTCATGTACAGTAAGTCTTGATATAATGTCCCAAGCCATAATCCCATGTTATGATTTGGGTAGTGGATTGATTTGTACTGGGAGGGATTAGGGTCTTTGATATTGGGGGATATGTGGTACAGACTGTTTATTACATGTCTGTTTGCTGAGGTCTGAAATCAGTAAGCAAAGTGTTGTGGCTTTTGTGATAATAATGGCTTTAGTTTGTTGGTGATCATCAGTGAAAGATTTCCTCCTTCACTGAACTGGGAAAATCTGATAAATAAAGTTTATTTGTTAACTTATAGGAACAACGGTCTCAAAGTGAGCAAAACCTCAGTACAATTGCTAAGACTCATGAAAAGATGAAGACCGAAGTGCGAGGTTTGTTTGTGTAGGAGATACATGTAATACAAAGTCAGAACTAGACTGCACTGCTCAGAAATGACTGTGGAGTTGGAGGAGTAATAATCAGTAAATAAGATGTAACATACCGTATTATGAAAATTTACGCTTCATGAAGTTACCGCGAATTTCCAAAATATGTGTTAATTTTAGTCGCGTTAATTTCTGTTCATGTTAATTTCTGAGCCATTAATTAAGTGTCTAACATTAACTTCCGTGACCTTAATTTTCATTATTCGACCCAATTTCTCAATACTTTCTGATATTATTGACACCTAAAAAAGAGGAGTATTTTATCAGCCAGGATGGAGTTCTGCCAGTAACAGTGAAACTAAGTAAAACTTGAAGTGGCCAGATTTCTTCGCTTAACCCCCTTCTTACGTTTAAGGAAAGAACCAAGAACAAAGAATTGTTTTCTAGTTTTTGCAAATGTTAATTTTCATGCCGTTAATTAAGTGGAGATCCTTATTCCTGGAGCCTTTGTTCAACTATAATATAACCTCAGGGTTTAGACAAAACCTTAATATAATAAATTTGTTGCATTTTTGTAGTATCTTCTTATTTCAAGTCCAAGTTGCGAGGCTTATACAAGACAGCAGGCTCTGATGCAGAGGCTGAAGTTGAGTGAGTATAGAATGTTTGATTGCCTTTCTTATCTACAGTTAAACATAACTTGAAACACTTGTATATACTTCACTAATAATGAAGATTGTTTTACCAGTATGTTTTATTTACATACCTGGGCTTGTTCTTTTTTTACTTTTAATTAGGGCAATTTCATTATGTCCTGGAGGGGTCAGCAAAATTTGAGGGGGGAGGGGGAGTAGTTGTGAATTTTTTGCTTATGATAAGGAAAATAATAGTTTGCAGACAAATCAACAGAATTTACGTACTCCCCCCTCATGTAAAGATAAGTGAAAGCCCTCTTCATTTTTCTTTTACTGTTTTTCTTTGAAGTTCAATAAAAAAGGCATTGGACAAGATAGCCATCATCAAAGCACTTAGAAATGACAGAAGGATTGGTGAGGAGAATGAATATTTCCTTGTTGTTGTAAATATCATGATTTGCTATAAGAGATATAGAAAGGTGTTTTTGAAAGGTCTATGTCTGTCCATACCAGCTGAATGAATGTTTACTCTATGGCTTTAACTTCTGTATTTTCACACATAAATCTTCAAAGGAGGACTAGGATTCATAATGTATGAATGCACTAGAAAAGCTCCTTTATATGTACAGGTTTTATGTTTCTAATTTTGATAAGCAGCAGAGTTGGTGTTTTTGTGTAGGATGTTTGTTTTCCATCCCAACACTCTGGAAAGTTTGAGGCAACGCCACAGTTCAACTTTTGGGTTCGAGCCTTACAAGAAGGATTTACAACCTGCAGGATATAGGGTCTATATTATTATTATATATTATTTGGCTCACCTGATGTATGTGACAATTACATGTTCATAATTTGGTAAAATAATGATGTTTTAATCATATTTTTGTCTCTTTGTCAGTCCGAGGTGGCAGTGGTAGACTAGGCAATCAAGAAACAGGGGAACCAAGGTAATTTGTTAGAGTTTTAAGAATTAACATGCAGTTGTAATCATAAAAGCATATGACAATAGACTAAGAGTAAAATATACAGATGAAAGTCCCGTAAGGGAGAAGCGATTTTGAAAGTTTGGATAGTTAGTTGCTTATGAGAGAGGTTTGACTCAATAAAAATTTGCTTCCAGTTGTTATTGTGGTTGTCCAACTACTGTATGTATTGTTCTTAATTATATTTCTTGTAAATATTTCTTTTAGTCTACAGTAGAAATAAACTGCTTGTTGTTGTTGTTGATTATCACTAAATCACACTAAAAAATGTTTGCGAAGTTGTAGACCGCTCACAGCCCCCTTTTTTTCTGTATTATCGAAATCGAGCTCTTACGTGTACCATCATGGATGGGCATTTTGGTTGGCACACATCGCTCCCTCTTAAAACCAACATGGCTACCTGTTATAAACTTTAAATCTTATGGAAATATAGGGAACTGGCAAGTACAAAATGCAGTCTAGCAAAGTTGTTTTTCATTTTTTTTACTTTTTTAGGAAGGTAATGAGACGAGGAGTGCTAATGACAATGTTACAGCAAGCTGCAGTTCAGTTACCAATGTGGATGGGAAAATCTTCTGAAAGGTATGACATGTATAAGTGTTTTAGTGTAGGATTATGTCCATTTTATTTATGACTTAAGTACAAATGTATTGCTTGAGCGCAGGCTGGGGATTAATGCTTTGCTTAACCAGTGACCTGACCATACCGCTTCCTGGTTTGTTAGTTCAGCTGGTGGTGAGTTGCTAGACTGCGGGGTGGCAGGGTGGAAGATTGTGGCTTCAAATGGCAGCCAGAACCCCAAGCAGGGTCTTCAAAGAACTAGGAAGATGATACTGGAGCTAAAGATACTTGTCTTTTATTCTTTAGTAGTGTTTAGCAGTGTTTGTCCTACACCCACTTCTACTCATACTTCATTTGAAAAGAATAGGTGGAATCATTAGTGTTGTGATTTGGAATGATTTCTTAATGGGTGTGGTGTGGTGGGAACTCTAAATCAGGATTAAAATCTTAAACCATATCCTTCAACCTTCTTCCTTTCTTCCCAGCCCGCCTTCCCTATGTGGTTGCATTCAAGCTGAAGCAAACTATGTGGCCCAGCAAGGGGATCATGTAAGTTATACATAGTGTTCTATGCAAAGAAGAATAGCAATAGAAGGGGCCCACAAAATTTTTTATTATTTTCAAGGCAGGGCCCCTAACTTATGAGTGAGGTGCTGATTTACTTGAAGAACTGAATCTGCCACTTTTTTTTAATGTTTAGCTGGCAGTATTATAAGTGTGATGGTTAACCATTTATTGCCTCAAAAATGTCCTCTTTTTAAAGGCTGCAAAGGTGATGTGTGGACCATAAAATGTCAAATAATAGAAGTTTGCTCTATTTTTTTATTGTAGGTTGCTGCTCGCGTGCGAACACCTGATGGCGAAGAACAGTTGATCTTAGCAGAAATTGTCTCTTTTAACCCTTCGACAAATAAGTATCTTTCAAAACTTTTTACTGTCCAAGACAATGTTAGATGAAGGAACTTGGACATTCTGTTATCAGTACAGTGCCATTAAAATTTATGTGTTGTCAGGTAGCCTGTGCCGCAGATGAAACTAAACTCTGGTTAAGTCCATCTGCAAAACAGCGCTGAAATCCTTGTTCCCACCTGTTTACCAGGATTTGTGTTTGCATCATGATTGGCCTGTTAAAAATACCATTGTTGATTTGCCAATCAAGATAAAGGGAAATTGGAAATGCTCTTCCGGTAATTAATTGAGTCCGTTGGGGGCCCAAGGATAATCAGCGCTGCTTCGCACATGTTACTAACCAAGAATACATTAAGTCTGCGACGAAGGCTAGTTATCAGGTGGTCTTTAAAAGAATATGACCTGATTAAATAGTTTAGGGAGAATAGTGTCATTGTTAGAATAACTCACTTTGCTTGGTGGGAACATCCTGGGTGCAGTTGTTGAGAAGGTGTATGGTGCCATCTTGTGGTTAAGTCTCTATCTAGTAGATACTGCAATTGGTTGTCCTAATAGTTGTCCAACTTTTGAACAACAAGGGCCTAATAAAATTCAGATTGCAATTAGTTAACCAGATCAAGTCAAAATGGCCATCCCTTCAAAAATCTAGTAATGACTTAATTATTCTTATTAAAGCAAGCCTTTCCAATAATTTTTTTCTTCCTACCTTTAGCTTGCAAGTAATAGCATGATAGAATCAGGGGAGGGGTGGTGCAATCATCCCTGGATTAGGGTTCATACCTGCTAGATTATTTGGCAAGATTGTGCATCCCTAGTGCATTGACTGTGTCCAAGTTTGTGAGTGTCATCCTTGACTTAGCTTGTAAGATATGATGTTGATGACATTGATGAAGAAGCTGGAAGAAATGGCAAAGAGTAAGTGAAGGAGTTTGCACTGACCCGCCTAGTCTAGCAATGTTGACAGTTTTTTGGGTTTTTGTTGACAACTTTGACAAACTTGCTATGGACAGCAAAAATAAACACCTGCGATCTCTTTCAACCCCCTGTTTTTGAGGTAGTGTGGACTCTTATAAATGTAGTCTCTGTATATGCGGTATTTATGGATTTTAAAGAGATAACATGATGCAAAGGTGCTCAAAACATGAATATACCATTATACATTAATAATTGGCTTTGCATTTCTTCCAATGAATTCACAATTGTGGTTTTGCAAACTTGGTCATGCACTCAGATGTTAGAAATTGACTGACCAATATATTATTTGTAATTTAATATACGATGCCACAAATTTTTACCTACCCTGGGTGCCAGAGGCCTTTCATGCCCCGTTTCTGGTTTCGGTCAAGTCCGGCCAAAGCCGTGTAGGCTCATGGCTGACTAAGCTCTTCGTCGCTCGCAAGTCAAAAGCTCTGTTACCCAGAGTAATTTATACCCAGAATGTTTTTTTTTTTAATTTCAGGCGTCATCACTTAAGTCGAAGGCGAGTGATACCACTTCCAAAGACAAAAGCAAACCCGGTAACTCATCCTCAAGCTCTCTTTCAAAAAGATCAGGTTAGTGGAAAGCTAAAATGCAAAGTCACCCACAAAATGTGCGTGTCAAATGCAATGTTTGTCCATATTACCCTCTTCCTCATTGGGCGTGGTCGAGAGTGAGGTTTCACTAAATTTCTGATATGCTTTACCAAGAAGGAGTGTTTATGTCTGCATCCCAGCATTTCCTTTTCCTTTTTTTGGGGGGGGGGAGGGGGGGTGGGGGGTGGGGAGGTAGGAGCTTGTATTTGAATCGTACACGTACTTGCAAATGAGCAGCAAAGGGGAAATTCACACAATTTACATGGGTTGTGTTTCTTGTAGATTGTGATGGCGCTGTATCCTCAAACTACGTGTTTCTACAAAGCCGTTATCCACGAACCACCAACAAGGGTACGTAATCAATGATGGCAGTGACTCCGCAGATGACACCCAACTATCGTAGTAACAGGTGGCTACGTGGAAGCTAAGCCAAGTTCGATATTTTGGAATCTTTTTTACTAGCGCCTTTCTACTTTGCAAGAATCCAGTTTTTTCTTGTTTTTCAATCCAGACGAAATTTTCCTCGCTTCGACCCCAATAACCTTTATATCAAATTTTCCTTGCCCATTTAAGGATGCTTTTACAGTGGAACACTGATCTTTTATGATCACGAGCCGATTACCTCCTGTTTTAAGTTAATGTTTGTGATTGACTCGTACGTATAATTTACTTAGGGAAAATTTGAGAAGGCAGGTACACCTAAAATTCTTAAAGACAACATTTAGCCAGGAAAGAGGGCGGGGAAGGGGTGCAAACATTTACGCATACTAACTCAAAAAATGCACCCCCACCACCCCTCCCGTAACCCAAAATTTTGCCTTAAGTTCGACGTTACAATTAACTGTGTAATAAGGGAGGGGTAGGTGGGCAATTTCCTAGAATCTCACCCTGATTCAAAATACACCTTTTAGCGCATTGCATGTCAGCTAGGATGAACATTTTTAGTAAGTAACCTTACCTTTCTTTTATTTTTAACCTTATTTCAGCCGCAAGATGATTACTTGGTGTCGTTCGAGGACACATCCTACGCTGATGGCTTTGCTCCACCGCTTAACGTCCCACAGCGCTACGTTGTGGCGTCTAAGGAAACAAGAAAGAGATAACCTCAAGAACGCATACCTGCACAATTATGTAGCAAGTCGCTTACTACTTACCAGCTGTTGCGTGTGTGACACAAGGGACTTTAATGCTACATTTACACAGCACCGGACAATGTTTGACCGGTTGAAAATTCGTACGTTCAGGTGTTCTGTTCACACGGAACCACCTTAACCGTTCGAAAATTAAGACGTCTAGCCGGGGGTTCAAAGTTCTGTGTGAACAAAGCGAAAATACTAAACGCTCCCGTGTGTACGAAGTGTCCGGTCAAATTTTTCCTCCGGTCGATAATTCGTCCGGTGCAATGTGAACGGCATGCGCAAGTGTGCTCAGAACGTTCTTCTAGTATTAAACTTTGATTCTACGGTGCGTAAATAAAGGCAACCCGTCTGGCATCGTGTACATACTCGTAGAGTCCTTGTAGCTGTTAGCTCGAAGAAAGTCTGTCGACAATTATGTGCAAATTATAGAAAGCTTGTGAAGGAATAGCAGAATAAAGTTTGTATTCCTCTCTCTACTTTACCTGCATCCTGAACAAAATGTGGAATGGTGCTGACGGGATTTCAGTTAGCGGGCTTGTTGTTGCGAATCTGTCTTGGTCTTTGCAACGTTTAGATGTGTAACTGGTTTTGTTTTTGTTGCTCTCGGTTAGAAAATTCCCAAACTTTTTTGTCTCCTTGATTTCGTTTTGTATTACTTTTCTTAACTTTGACTTCCAAGAAGTCCGAATGGAAGTTAAATCTCGGGTTTTAGAGTGTTGTTTAAAAACTTGCTTCTGGAAATTCTGGAAAAATGAAAAGTTCTTGGCTGTGCGTGGTATCTGCTCTATTTTTGGCGGGAAAATATGAAGGCCGCAAGCATCGCAGGGATTTTTCGTGAAATACCACCCGTTGCTGCCGCAGAATATTCAACGGCTTTCTTCGCTTTCCGATTGGCTGTATCCTCTGTGGCATGGGATAAATATCTATACTTAGTAACTCAGAACCACAATCAAATGTTTTATCCAATAATGGAGTAAACTGTGTCGTAACAGTTTTTGAGAGGGCGTCCTTTTATACTACACCAATGTCGTGATGAAGCAAGCTCGTCCTCTTACTTCCAGCGTCGTAGGTGATGTTGCATGAGGCACCTGTTACCCAATGTTTAACCAGCAAGAGCTGACCCTGCATGACGGACTGGAGGCTGATTTCGGTCACCCCTTAGTTTTCTGTACAAAGCTGTCAGTGAGCTTACGCAACAGGACGTGAGGGAAGAAGACGGCAAACCTTGCGTGACAATAATTTTGTTTGAAAACACTTTACGCCAAACTTTACCATCCTTTAAACAGAAAACATTAATGTACGTGAAGATCACGACAAAACACGCACATAATAGCCCTATCATGTTTGTCACACACAAGCGTTTTGCCGTCCTCTTACTATAAGAGATATCTTAGTTAAGGATGGTTTCGTCAAACCCGGCGGGCGTCCGAAAAATGTATGTTCCCCAAACCTTTGTGTAGAATAGACAGCCCCCACCCCGCTGCCCCCCACAATTTCATGCTATGGTCCACGCCTCTGTTAATCTTTTAACCCCTAATAACAGAATTTAAGTTCTTAGATGGTGCCTCAATAAATTTGTTTAAAAGAAGTGGGAAGAATTTTTTAAAAGTATCAATTACATTCATCTCCTGTGGTCAAGTCCTTGATTCTGGTGACCAATGTTTAAGGGTTAATATCATAAACAGGTTCGTATATAGCATAGATTGTGCGGATGATTTAGCCTGAGTATCAGGTGTTTCTGAAGGGAAAGGAGAGGAGAGAAGCGAAGGGAGACTCTTCCTATCTTTCCCCACCCCCGTTCCCCCTCTAAAATCTCCTCTCCTCTAGCCCCTAAGGAAGGCCTGATACTCAGGATAGTGGTGATAGCTGTATATGGTGGGGATGACAAAACTACAGCGGTTAATATTAAAATAAAACGGCAAATTATGGCTTAAATGATACAGACACCAACGGATTAAATGTAAGAAAGGAGCATCGACCAGTCTTGCACATTGATAGTCGGTTGTACATGTGTTGATAAAGTTAACTTTGGATGCACATATTTAAACTACTCTTACTAATATCAGGAATCAAAACCATACTTTGCTTGAGCGAATCAGATGGTAAAACAGCTTACGACAACATGACAAAGATTTAGATAAAAATTATAAAAGTCAATATTAAAAGAATACACAAAAAACTAGGAGTTACTTCATGAACGTATTGCAGGAACCTGACATAGATACCTGACCCATTGCCAGAAAGTAGTTCCCCCATCCCCAACTTTGATAGCCCCGCCCCCTTAATAACCACTCCCAATTTACACCTCACTTCCTCAGATTGATTTTCGGTTTTCGTTATTGTAGTTGTAGAAATACAGCATGGAAACTATAAAACCCAAATTTTGATATTTGAGCAGGATAATTTCTTTACTCCTACTGAGCTGTCTTTGGATTCGTCAATCAATTTTTGGGGGTAGGAATTGCGTGGCAACCATGCATTAAACAAGATACCTCTTTGATCTCGCAAACAATTGCTGTTAAATGTTACGTAGTCTTTTCAAACAGTTATTTCAGCTACGTGACATTCACAATAGAATGTATCGAAGCAAATAACGGTGATATAGGCTAATTTTTATTTTAAAAACGTAGCTTAATGTTATTAAATTACAATATAATCACGTTAATTTGCGCTTAATTAATGTATTTCGAACATTAACAAAAATAAAACACAAAGTTACAAATTAACAAAACGGACGTTTTGTTTTGTTTGGACCTTTATAAAAGGTCGAGGCGCCAGACGTACGGTATTTGCTCTTTTTACACTAGAGTCCAACCTTAAGTCGTTAAACGCTGTGTGTATCGATAAATACTTTCCAGACATCTGTTGCTATCCACAATGGGCACTACGTTGATATTTATTCTCGCTGTACAGGGCGACCGTTTTTTAAAGTTCGAGTGGTCACTGAATTCCTTACGTGCCACCATTTAGAGAAAGGTGTCTTTGCAGCTCTTTTGTGAACAATGTGAGATTTGTCAGGTTATTTTATGAGAGTGAGCTTCAGGGATAAATTTAAATAACGTAAAAAAAAACTAGGGACTGTCTTCAGAAATATTGGAGGTATCAACAACCCCATTATCATCGTCGTCACTCAAGGGTTCGTAGTTATCCGACAAGAGAGGAGTCGGTTCTTGTGGCCTGGGTAACAAAGAAGAGCTACTTGGGCTGGAGCCTGAGGTCAAGCTAACCGCCAAAGCCTGAGGAACTGGTGATGAGCGAGCACTGCTGTTAGCGGAGCCGACGTTGAAGGACAAGGTGGAGTAAGGGAAAGGGTTTATGCGTGACGTTAAGGGCAAAGACATCAATGAAGAGTATTGGCTGTCGATTGAAGGCCACTGCGGAAGGAGCGAGGTACCGTCACATTTTGATTGGTGGTTGGGTGACTCGGGTGGGGCAGGAGAGATTGGTATCATATTAATGTAACAGTCTGAACTCAAGGTGGCTTCTTGACTTGATGACACCACTGAGGGACGTCTGGATGGCAGAGGCGTACTGTCCGCATCGCCTACCGACGCAGGCGATCTTTGAGGGGTTTCTACGGTTGCTTCATCCTCCGACTCGGGAATCTCCCCCTCAGATAACTGCTCGTCGCCAACAGTTTCACTACTTTGTGACGGTAGTTGATCACGATCGATTACGATTTGCGAAGTGTCAGGTAGCAAGTTAGACGGAGATTTCTCACTGGGCTCGCCACGCCAAAGAACTGCAGCTTCGTTATTCCCAGATTTTTCTTCCTGAGGAGGTAGTTCGTCTTCTGAATGACTGCTCTTCTGTGACGGTGTAATTTCTCCTTCGGATAAAGTATCGTCTGAGTGACGAACGCTTTCGTCCGGACTTAGCACACCGGACGGCTCCTCTCGATTTGACGCAGTAGGTTCAGCCACATCTATTAATTCCCTCTCAGAAATACGGTCATCACCAATAGAGCTAGCCTCAGAGGCGATATTTGTGGAGCATCCAGATTTAATATCGGGGGAGTCTTCCTCACCCGGTAGGGGAACAAATTCACCAACAAAAGTAGGGTAAGTGGAATGACCCTCATCATCGGATACATCATCCATAGCTGAGCTTACCTCAGGCGGGTGACTTTCTGACAAGGGACTGAACGTATCAGGAGCGTTGAGAAACCCATCTTCACTACCAGGGTTATCTAATGTCTCCGCTTCATTTATTACTTCGTCGCTCTCGCTGCGGTTCACTAGTGGAGAAACTGTGTTGCTTCTTGTTGCTTCTGAAGTGCTTGGGCAAGAGTCGGCATCAGTCGCCGCGGTGACAAGAGCACTCTGTTCTTCGTTTAGTGACTGTTCTGCTGTTCTCACGTCATCCATTTCGACTGAGGTAACAACGTCCGTAAGATTCGCATCACGATCACGGACGTTTTCTTCAAGTGAGGAAGTGACATTTTCATCAGACATCGCCAAAGTGTTAGCAGAACTATCTGGAAAGTCCTCCGAGACTTGCTGGTGAGATGATACTACTTGTGGATGAGTTGACTCTATATCTGTTTCACTGCTCCCAACAAGACTATTCTCACTTGACTGAACCCTTACCACGTCCATTAGTTCGACTCCTACATCTACTGACACGGGCAATGCCTCTGAAGAATCCTCCTCTAGCGAAGGTTTGTTAGGAGAGGAAACGTGGGGAGGTGTTAATTCATGGTCTGAACCTTCAACCGTTTCTTCACTGTTTTGCCTATCCAAAATAACGTCAGTCTCTGCCTCCGTTTCTAAGAGTTCCTGTGGCTTTTCACCTTGCTGGCGAGACTCTTCAGGAGAAGCTGAAGTGGTAGGTATATCCTCCTTTTGTTGGTAGTTTATCGAAACAGGTAATTCCGCACTGATAGGGCTCGTAAAGTCTCGCAAAATATCGCTTCTCTGTACGCCTTTCTCTTCGAGTGATCCTTCGGTGTGTTCATCTTCAATGTCAGAGTAGTCCTTTGACGTACTAGGAAGAGAAGTATTCGTATCCGCATCCGCATCACACGTGTAAGCAAAAGTGGTGTTGTCTATATCTTCCAGTACGCTCTCATTTCTTTCCTCGTGTCCGCCGTCAGCTTGTGTGTATACCTTGGTGGTGGTCCTAGGAAACATTTCATCACTACTCTCGGGCAAATGTTCAGACTCTTCAGCTGACAAGGTTTCACTGTCGCTGGCATCGTAAGTTTGGGTACTCCTCTGAGAATTCCTAGCCAGCGCGAGCACTCGAGGATGCAAACCTACAGAAGATGGCTGAACTGAAGTTTCAATGTCAATCTCTTCCTCTCCTTCCTCTGTGTCACTGCCAGACGCACATGAGGTGGTAGCGTCTGGGGGTGCCTTAGGCTGTGGTGAGGACGTCGTTGCACCACTATAACTAATCACTGGTTTCTGTTCAAAAGGAAAGGCCCTATTGTTCACTTGCCAGTTTTCATGCGACCTTTCATCGCGTTTTTCACCCTGATCATGAGCATGGCGAGACTG